TGTACTATTCCTTTAAGCTGAAGCTGGAGAAGCAGGATACCTGTACGAGTTTCCAGGGTCACAGAACTCCTTTTCGATGGCCTCATTACTGGGCAACGCCTTCCACTGGTCGCCTTCATAGACCTGCCATCTGTACGGCATCTTGTCGTGAGCTTTAAAGCACTTGTCTGAAATCATAAGTTAAATGAGATTATTTGAGGCCCAACGAAGGTAAAAAGGTTTGAAACGGGAGAAATAAGTCATAACTTGCCTCCATTTTTACAGTAGCCTTTGATGAAGTACATGCATATCTCCGTTTTATCAACTGAAAACATCAAAAAATAGTAAATGATCTTTAAAGCATTAATTCTTCTCTGAATTAATTTGTCAGTTTGTTTATTTACTCTTTGCAGTTTTGTTCTTTTGTCCTTTTTTCTGTTCCTTGTTTCCCTGTTCTGCACCAGCGCCGGGGTCGTCGGTAGCAGAGGCCCTTCGGGGCCCTCCATGGTTGCTTCCTCTCCCTTTACTTGCTGAAGTTCGATTGCGACTCTTTGAGCGCCGTTTTGTCTTTGCACTCTGGGCGCCCGCGTCGTCTGTGATGGCGGAGACGTCACTGTTGGATGAATCGGGATCTTGCTGGCGACTGTCACTGTGACTCGGTTCGCCTTCGCCGTACAGGTTCAGGCCACTGGGCTCGCCCCAGAGGTCGCCAAAGGAAGTGCTTCGTAGTTGCTGTAGGGGGTTGTATCCTGTTCCCCTGCCTCCCCTGTTCCCCCTGTTCCCCCTGGCGCCTCTTGGCCCCCTGTAACCCCCCCTCCCCCGGCCGTAGGGTCCCGGCCCATTCAAACCACTGTCACTTCTTCTATCGACGTCGTAGCCAGCAGCAGAGACGTCACTGCTGGAGGAATTATAACCTCCATGCAGACTGTCGTCGTCATTTACTCCGTCTTCCGTGTACAAATCCAACAGATCAAGATCAGCGGAGATGTCGCTATGGCTAGGTGTTCGTCGCTGGCTGAGGTTTCCTCTATGACCCCTGGTGCCCCTACCCCCTCTATTGCCCCCTCTCGCTCTTCCTCTGCCGTGTCTTTCATTGGGCCCCCCACGGTTCCCCCTGTGCCCTCGACTCGCTCCTGCTCTACCGGAGACCCACAGCGCCTTCTTATTGGCATAAACAGACTTCAAGGACACAATGATGTTGTCGGGGACCATCTTAGCGTTTAAGCTTTTCCTCGGCTGAAGACCGAAAAAGTTATGTTCCCGGTAGCAGCTACAGGTTTGGTCCAGCATCCTCTCACAGACGTGAAGCCTTTCACAAGCTAAGCCGCTCTCGCACCGGCCGAACAAGCCGTCGCCGTTATTGTAATCATGACATATCTGGTAAAACAAGAAGAGAAGACGAAGCCATCAATCATAAAAATTGTTGTTTCTAAAGTGATACCTGAGGAGATAGGAAGGTAGAAAGGTGGTGACACCTTCTCCAGACTAAAGAGCTTTGTTTCTGAGCATCATGTGGATGTTGGAGGACTTACAGAGGGCAGCATGGTGTTGTCGCTCTGCAGCAGCAGCGTACAGAGCTCCGCCCTGTTCAGGCAATCCAGCTCATGTTCTTTCAGTAACCTTTGGTTGTAGTCCGAGTTTAATTCATGGGAGAAACTGCATCCTCTTCTGTTGTAAAAGATTACATATGAGAAAGTTACATATATTGTTGCCTAACCTCTAAAAACCACAAACAATGACTGCAAAAATCACTGTCCAACTCCAAAACATACAATAGCTGCCATTCCCATTTTACTCTGACTGCACACTTTCAATGAATTACAGGGTCTGGCCAGGAGATGGCGCTTCTCTTTAGATCTTGATGACCACAAATCATGTCAGAGAGAATATTTTAGTACAAAGATTGATGTCTAAAAAGGAATCGTAGGGAACTAGCCAAGGACCCGTCAAGGAAAGTGGGGACAATTTTGAATGGCTACTAGGGATGCACGATATTGGGATTTTGGCCGATATCCGATATGCCGATATTTTAAAACTCATGTAGCCGATAACCGATATCGATACCGATGTTA